CACACACACACACACACACACACACACACACACACACACACACACACACACACACACACAAAAACATGCGCGTTTGGTCATGCACGTGCTGAAACAATCTCAGGCACGGCCACGTGACTGTGTACGACCCGGAGCACCACCAACTGGTGGTGTTTGGAGGGCGCACCGCGGAGCGCAAGCGGCTCGACGACGTGTAAGCTGCAGCCCGCAGCCGGCCTGGAGCGACACGGGCGGAGGGCACTGTCAGCAGATTGGCGGCACGGGTAGCACAAGTTGCACACGTTGCTTTGTGCCAGAAAGCGCCAGCAAGCGGCGGTCGCAAGAGCCAAGCAAAAGACTGGCAAATGCGCAGACGCCCCGACCCGAAGCTGCGACCATGGCATCCTGTCCAACAATGCAAACCCACCAACAACCGCCACCCTCAACCTCCCCACAACCACCCTTCAGGTACCTCCTCGACCTCGACAGCTGGCAGTGGCGCAGGGCGGCCTGCGAGGGCCAGGGGCCGAGCCCCAGGGAGGGCGCGGCGGCAGACTACCATGCAGGCTACATCGTCCTTTTTGGTGAGCAGCCCGGGTTTGCAGACGCCTCAGCGTGGTACTGATACGATATATGTATATATATGATCGCAGGGAGGGCCCTGCTGGCTTGTCCCACTGACCTAACACTGAAATAGGGACAGCTGCACCCCATGGTGTTTCAAAGGGATGGCAGGGGGAAAGCCGGGGCACGGGCACGGGGCTGGCCATGCAGCCCGCCATAACTCGACCGCCCCAGCGCACGTGGCTTCCGCGACCGGCCCCGCACCCTCATCATCCACCTCCGCCAGGCGGCCACGCCGCGGGGGGCCGCACCAACGACCTGCACCTGCTAGAGCTCAGCCGCATGGCGTGGAGCCAGCCGCCAACCGCGGGGCCCGCGCCCAGCCCGCGCAGCGGCGCGGCGGCTTGCGTCGGCGCTGGCAGGTGGGGGGGCCGCGGGCGCAGGGCGGAGCGGCCGACGTGCGTTAGCACGTGTGTGCCGGCATGCCGCTGGGCGCTGGTGCAAACTGGCCTTCAAGCATCCTCAGCTGCAGCCCTGGCCTTGCTGCGCAGCGCCTGCCGATCCAAGGCCATGGATTCTGCCCTGTGTCGGCCAACCCACGCTGCACGTTTGACTGTTTGAGCATAGCTTGACCGCCCGCGTAGGTACCTGTTCCTGTCTGGCGGCCGCAACAACTTTGTGCTGGAGGACCTGGCTGTGATGGACCTCATCAGCAGGACGTGGCTGGAGGTGGGCAGGGGTTGGGGTTGGGGTTGGGGTCGGGGGTCAGAGAATCAGATTGAGGCGCCGAAGGGGGGGATTGGGGCTGCTGGTATCGTGGCAGTGTCGCGTTGCTGGAGTACTGCCTTGCCCCTGCATGCGTGCAGGTGGATGAGGGGTTTGTGAGTCTAGGGCAGGGAGGAGGACCGCAAGGTCTGCGTGTTGCCGATCATGCGCGCGCGCGCGCGCGCGCGTGTGTGTGTGTGTGTGTGTGTGTGTGTGTGTGTTTAAACTGGCAACGACAAAGGCAGCAAATTGGAGCTGCCCCTATCTGTGCCCCATGCCCGTGCCCCACACCTAGCCCTTCGACCCTCCAGCAAACCCTTGTGCCCCTTGCCCCTGCCCCGGCAACCCACTGCGCCGACACATTCCACGATGCCAGGTGTCTCTGGGCGGCACCGCCCCCCCGCCGCGCCACAGCCACCTGCTGAGTGTGCACGACCAGGCCCTATACCTGTTTGGCGGCCTGGACGAACTGGGCGCCTCCAGCCTCCGCCTCTTCAAGCTGCCCGTCCCCCGCGCCGCGCTTGCCGCCGCCGCCGACGCGGCCGCCGGCGCCAGCGCCGCCGGCGGCGGCGCCCCC